GATCGGGAACGTTGGAAGCACTGTCTGACGCGTCTGCCTCCGCGACCCGAAAGGAGAAGCGGCGACGGAAAATGAAGAAGATGAAGATCTTTAACCTTGGAGATTTTTAATGAAGACTTCTGACGTTTTCCTCGTACATCCTGTTTCTCATCGTATCACTTCTTAACAGCTGTTTGTCTCAACGTGCCTAACATTCTGTTCTTACCAGAAATTATCATCTGGATTGAATTTATTAAAGAGTTACTATTTCCTTCTCATGAACTACGGCTTCCAATGCCTCTTACAAGCTTTTTTAGCAATGCCCTTCACGTAAGCGATTCACTTGAAAGCACGAGGACACCTATTGGTCCTGACATCATGGCTTCCTTCAGTGGCTGCTTCAATTTTTGTCAATGCCGTTTGCGCTAATGTTCAATTCCCGACTTTGCCATGCGCGTGATCCTATGCTTTGGTATTTCTACTTTGGTAGAACTGATGCCAGGTTCAGCTTATGGCAATCTCAGATTGCCAGGAAAATTAACACACCGATATGAATATGTAATCAACAGAATATTACATAGTTTGTTGTTGGATACGATTGAACTTAGTTTGACTGCTAAAGTTAAATGCAGCTACCATTCACGAGGACGGTCACCATCGTTGGGCTAGCCCGTTCCAAGGAAGTTGCGGATCGCTGCTTTCCACACCTGTCAATCATAAGCGGTGTCAATCATCAAGTTAAACCAGTCTTTCTTCTACCGTTAGTACCCCTATAGCGCCGGTCCAGAGAGGACTTCAGCGTCAGCTCAGACAGTGCCCCATCTTAAAGACTGGTCATTTTGAATCCAGACTCTGGCAATGAGTCTTCTTGCAGTACAACGTTTAATATGGATGACAATGAAATGTGATCTGTTCAGAACAATGACGAATTGAAATGTTCAACTGACAGAATTCGTAGGTCTTGAAAGACCAATTTGTCAAAGAATGTTATTTTTTCATTCATAGGAAGACTTCGTACATCATGGTCTGGCTTTTGCGTCACGGTCAAATGGGAGTCATTAATTTCTTTAAGGTTGGAGACAATATGAGTTAAACTGTTCAGTTATCAACAGTACTTTTGAGAATATAAGGACGTGTTCTCTGCCTCAAATAATTCGATCTGGCTAGGCAGTCGACGGATCCCTTACTTATGCAGATCAGCCTTAAATCTTAAGGATGTTTGTCATTAACTCGTTAAAAACCGTCTCAAAGCTCACTACAGCCTGCATATTTACCATAACAAATCAATGAACGTCACCTTTACCGTAATTCGCTATATAACGTAATATAAACTTTCATCATTAACTTTTCTTCACACGCAAACGTCGAGGGTGGATAATAATGAACGAACTCATATGCGCGTTGTCATTTGTCAACATCCTCGTAATGATCGATATCTGCTCCGCCTTTTTGAATTTACAACAGTACAACAGTGATAAACGTCATCCTCTGTTCAAACGAATGGCAACAGGAACATACAAGTTGGACAACACTATAAGGTGCATTTCTCTGACCATATCTTCTGTCCAAGTAACGTAATGTAATTTTTCCAAATCTTCATATATCAACAAATCAATTTATTCCGATCTTCAGAATACTTTGATCAAAGTGTTTCATCTTGGGATCTATTAGAAGCCCTGATCATTCTAAAAAAGAAGCCAAAACTGTTGCTCCTTTCTCAGTAGATCAGTTGAAGACCCCAGAAATGGCCGAGAATGAAGAAGGAAGTGTCTCGACAGATTTTATTTAAAATTCAGGTTGTCTTTTGCTGAATCTCAGGTGCTGGTGAAGGATCAGACACTGTCTAATGATGCCGCATCTGAGGTTTGAAAGAATGAGTACCCATAGGCACTGACTGACTTACCGATCGACTGATTCAAAGCCTATACAAATTTACTTCACACTAACTTTACGTCTGTCTACCAGCAACTGACATTGCGATGAAGCGGATCGTTCGTTTTTGATTTGAGGGTAGATTTCTACAATTAAGGAAATACATGCCAACATAATTGCCTTGCCAGACGATTCTTCTTAATTTTAATCGACGTAGGTGGATAAATTGTTGAGCAATTTTTAATTCATCATATCCGCTGAAATCATCAACACAACATAAACGTGGGATAAACCACCATGAAAAGTTTTAAAGCATTTTTGTGATAATCTATAATGCTTGAAATTTACAGCCGTATGTGTACACGGCCTTCCGGCAATGCACAACGGCTACTTCGCCACCTGTTCATCAGTGGTCGCTTGTCCACCACTGTTTGACTGCGTGGAATTGGCGAACAGCAGCAGGTACTGTTGCCCAAATGCAGGTACATATTTTTTCGCTCATCGTCTGGTGCAACGTCTCTACAATTTCAGAGTCGGTCTGCATCAACGCGCAGGACGCCGGTCATCGTTGCAATGGCTACGCACCGGTCACTAGCTACTACTTTGATCCTGTGGCTGAGAAATGTCGCAGCTTCATGTTCAACAGCTGTGGAGGTAACCTGAATCGCTTCCTCGACGAGCGGTTGTGTTCGTCATTCTGTTTACCGTATGTCTATAAACATGCGGTACCCTGGACCTCCTCATCGAATGAGTTTCGAATGTGTCGGGCGAATCAAACTTCTGAAAACGATAATGAAGCGTCAAATTGCGGTAGCTCTCGCAGAAAGTCTGCCAGTAATTTTGTGCAACTCCTTCAACTGTTCAATACGGTAGCCTGATATTTTCATTGAAGAGTTGGTATGCGGTCAACATGCCGATTCAGGGTCGAAATGTGGCTTTGCTCAGGTGAGTCTGCATGGCTCAGTATCATCATCATACAGTACCTCCAAACGTAGATCCGCTTCCACTTTGACGTAAAAAAGGGATCCTGCCAACCTTTCACTTTCCTGGGCTGTGCCGGAAACGAAAACAACTTTGTGTCACAAAAGTCGTGTGCCGCGTTTTGCCCCGGTAAGCGAGCTGCTAACGCCTTGTTTTAAACGTGACCTTGCTTAGAAAATGTTGCGTGTCCGAATGGTCAGATCCCTCTCCGGGCAGCTGACACCGGCTGGCCAAAGACTTGCGATGAACGCAATGCCTCAAGCTGTCCTCAGGGATATTCGTGCCAGACGAACCTCGCCGGCGCCAACGTTTGTTGTTTGTCGCTGCCGGTTTGTGCCAGCGGTCGAACTGCGCTTCGGAACAACGAAACCGGCCAGCACGTGCGTTGCAAGCCCGACCGATTTGCGTGGTGCCCCGAGGAGTACACTTGCGAACTCATTCCTCAGATGGACTACTACTGCTGCAGAGATCCTGGTACAACTCACACAACTCATACGGTACTCGTTTCGCTTCCTCTTCTATGGTATGTGACTTAGGGTTGAACGAAACGTGCCCACGGGACAGCAGCCCACTGCGCTCTCGCAGTGGAAAGGCGACCGTACAGTGTTTCGGCGGCAACCGAGGCTGCCCGGTAAACTACTTTTGCCATTTCAACAAAATCTACAGTCATCACTACTGCTGTCTAGACACGCGAGAGGGTAGGGTTGATTTTGAAACGTGACTGTGATGCTCAACATCTGCTGTGTAATGCGTTCTTTCAGAACCTGGGAATTTTATGCTGCTGACAGAACAACTGACAGACTTTAACTCAAGCTCAATTTAAACATATTTCATTTGCAATAGTTTTTCCATGTCTCATGTGTATGCTGAACTTTTGACTCAGATTAAGTGTTCAGAGACTCATACTCAAAGTTTAAAGCAATGCAGTTTTAGTTGCTGATCTGTGCAACTTT